ATTTTACAGTTAAAATATATGTTTATCAAATAAAGTCTAATGTTACAACTAATCATGGATCCCTTTAAAGGATACTTACAGTACATTTAGTACTTTTTGCTAAGGGCCAACCACAGATATTTTGCTAGCAGAGCCACACACAGGACAGGTGTGTGTGTGTTTTAGTTAACAGAGCAGGAGAACACGTGTCTGCTGGGACATGTGTCTCAGAGGGAGGGACAAGCGGCAGCATGTTTGTTTGGACCCAGATGGGGGCCTCCTGGTACCGACTGAGACCTGCATGGTCCTGATGAGGTTACTGTGGTTCAGTCAGGGCGCCGACCCGCTCCTGTCAGCCAAAAGTTCATGTTGTTCTCTGTTTGTTCAGATCTGATAGTTTTACACAAACAGAAGAGATTCTTTAACAGAACTAATAAAAGTATTTAAAGTTCAGCTCCTGGATGTGTTGAAACATTCAGAGACTGGAAACCTTGTTTGTTCTGAGCGATGGGATCAGGTTTCATGGAGAACATGTTTCACGTGTGAATCATCCGCCCTCCTCACCAAACCCCCGCCGGACCTCCCTGCTATTGGCCCAGTGTGGCGGAGCAGCCGAGTCCGATTGGACCGAAAAGAGGGCAAGTCTGCACATGGCCCACTGACAGAGTGACAGAAAACACAGCAGGGAGGTCAGACGGGTTTGTCCTCATATGGAGAGGTCCAACAAGTTCAGCTTCATGAAGACAAACAGGACGAGGATTTCATTTAAACTAAACTCCAAGAACATCAGAGGCTTCAGTGTGAACCGCTCTGAGACGAACAAGCTGTCAAAACAAACAAGACCAAATCAGCTAAACAGGAGCTACATGCTAACATCAGCAAAACTTCAGCTAAAAAATAAACTTCACAAAACTGTGGTCAGGAAGCCAAAATACTGATAAATGAAGCTAAAATTACAATTAGCAAAAGTATAGCTTAATGTTACAATTACCAAAACAGTGGCTAAAACCAGCAAAAACTAACTAAAYGCCAAAATTAGCAAAGTTGTAGCAAAAAGATTAAATGAGTACAATTGTAGCTTCAAGCTATAATTAGTAAAATAGTAGCTAAAAGCATAAATTGGCAAAACTGAAGCTTAAAATATGGCTAAAAGTTAAACTCAGCAAAACACTACATAATATATAGGCTACTAAAAATCTGCAAAACTTCAACTAAAGCTAAACTTGACAAAACTGGTCAGAGCAAAAAGTACAATTAGCAAAGACAAAAGCAAGAATTAGCAAAAAGCTAAAATTAGCAACACAGTGGCTAAAACAACAAAAATAGCTAAAAGTAAAAAAAAAAAATAAATAACTGGATGCCAAAATAAAAAAAAAGTTGTAGAAAAATGTTGAACAAATGAGCAAAACTCTCTAAAAGCTAGCCTGGTAAAAACCAAACCCTCGCCCTTCACTTTGAACTAGAATTGAGCAGAACTGCTTAAAGCAAGGGCCAGGCTATCTAAAAGCAAAACTGTGGCTAAAAGGTAAAATGAGCRAATCGTAACTGAGATAAAATAGCAAAACAWTAGCTAAARGYAAGACAGGTAAAAGCTAAAGGGGAGCAAAGACAAAAACAGGAAGTGTGCTGAAAATGATTTCAGTGAAAATCTTTTGGAAGGAAGGAAGTGATCTTAATGTATTTTTTGTGGGTAATTATTTTGTAAATAAAAATTAAATAATTCAAAGTCAAAGCACCGTTTTGACATTAAATTAAAAGGCACAAAGTTTGTTTACTAGAAACATCCTGAAGGTTTTAACTGGAAAACAGCTGAATCAGCGTTCTCACTTTTCAAACATGAAACATTTGTTTCATTTCATCTTTTATCTGCTCAGACTTTAGAGTATTGGGAGCAGGTTCAAGAACATCAATGTTTCTGACCCGATGTTTACAGTTTAGAGAAAAGTAAAAAAAAAAAAAACTTCCTGCTCTGACCTGTTGAAAAACAAACCACAGCTGGTTTTCACAGCGAGAATGTGTTTTTTTGTTTTGTTTTTAAAGAAGTTCGGATATTATTCTGGGTAGAAGGAGTTCACTGGGGACATTTTCTGCCTCTTTGATCAGGTTATGTAAGAGAAGAGAAAGGGAAGTCCTGCTCACACAGCCTGCATGTAAAACACAACCTGGCTGCTTCCTTCTTTCTGTTCTCTGAAATCAGCTCAAATTCATCAACGTCTTTTAATCTGACACGTTTTCAGGATCTCATCAGTGACATGAGGCCTGCTCCTGTTTACTCATCCCTGAATAATCAGCTGGATGTGTTTCCTCTCTGCAGCCTGTGTGTGTGCATGTGTGTGTGTGTGTGTGTGTGTGTGCATGTGTGTGTGTGTGTGTGTGTGTGTGACATGTTTTTCCTACATTGTGGGAACCATTTTCCCGACAAAAACGGCCTCGTGGGGATCAAACGTGCGTCATAGGGATCAATGCCCGGTCCCCACAGGTACGAATGCAAAATTAACCTGTGAGGTTAATTTTAGTGTGAATGGTCAGGGCTGGGCTATAAAATTTCCAAAAAATGAATGGAAGTCAATGCACGGTCCSCGCAGGGATATAAAAACCAGACATGCATGTGTGTGTTTGCTACATGATTAGGATCACTTTCCAGACAAAYACAGCCTTGTGGGGACCTAGTGATCTTTATGTGGACCAAAGCCTGTATCCCCATGGGTACCAATGTTTTTGGGTGGAGGGCTGGGTTTAGGACTAAGAAATGGAAGTCAATGCAAAGTCCCCATGAGGATAGAAGAACAAATGTGTGTGTGGACACGTTTTTCCTAAATTGTGGGGACTATTTTCCAGGAAAAAGAGGCCTCGTTGGGATCGAACGTGCATTGTAGGGACCAATGCCCGGTCCCCACC